CTGAATTAATGTATGAATGTTTATCTTATCAATGATCACTTTAAACACGGAACTAAAACTACGAAAATTTCTGTAACTGAAAATACAAAATCATGTGACAACGTAATTTTGGGTTTTATCTATCTTTTGTTGGCTGACTGAGAGTTAACAATACATGCAAATATTAGAGCTAATTGTGTATTTTAACAATATTACACATTGAGATTAATATTTGTGTTTGTTTAACATGCAGTCACCTAGCACAAGAGATTACTTGCAAACCGATAACGTCATATTTATAGTTACAATAAAAACCATAAAATAAGTGCAGCAAGTTCGAAATGCTTTCTATCAGACCTCTCGCACCGTACACACTGTGCTGCATTCACCTTGTAAAGTCTTCTGTCTTTATAATAATTGTGAGGAACAGATGAGTCACATAATCCTCTCTCCGCAAGGAGCATTAACATAATGAGGAGTGATGGCTGGAGACCACTGCTGGCGACTGGCTAGTGACCTATTGTCTACAATTTCCTGGGTAATTCACATTCATTCATTATGCACCAACGCAGACCACTAAATGTATTGCGAGTTAAAAATGTATCAGTAATTTAACACACAGAGCAGAGGGGAAAGGACAAGAGTTCAAAACAATGCAATGGTCCTTGATCTCTTAATCATACAGTGTTAATTATGGCACTATTTATTAAGCAGTGCATTCTTCTTATTTTAATTGCTTTTAAAATTAGAAATATTCAGAGTACATAAAACATTTGAGTGTTTTCTCTTATTAAATCTTTATAAATCTAAAATCTTTAAAATCCACAAAGTTGTGTATCATTAAAGGACCACTATAGTGCCAGGAAAACAAACTCGTTTTCCTGACACTATAGTATTAATAGGTCCCCCCCACCCTCATGGCCCCCCTCCCGCTCGGCTGAAGGGGGGAAAGGGGTTAAACCCTTACCTTTCTCCAGCGCTGGGCTCCCTCGGTGCTGGGGACTCTCCTCCTCCTTCGGTCGTCATCGGCTGAATGCGCATGCGTGGCAAGAGCCGCGCACGCATTCAGTCAGTCCATAGAAAGCATTCTCAATGCTTTCCTATGGACGGTGGCATCTTCTCACTGTGAAAATCACAGTGAGAAGCGCGGAAGCGCCTCTAGCGGCTGTCAATGAGACAGCCACTAGAGGCTGAATGAACCCATATGTAAACATAGCAGTTTCTCTATGTTTATAGCAGGCAGGGTTAACCCTAGATGGACCTGGCACCCAGACCACTTCATTAAGCTGAAGTGGTCTGGGTGCCTATAGTGTTCCTTTAAGGTGATATGCGGTATATATTTATAAACGATCATATACTTTCATTACAAATGCTTACATCTGTCTGTTTATCATCCATGAATCAATGACAGCTGAAGAATCGCTATTTTAAAAACACCCATTATCACTATATTATATATATATATAATGCAGCTGAGGTAGATGTTACAGTCTATTTAATGGGTTACTCTAAGCTTCAAACCCACGGTGGCCCTCTGTAGTGGGTGTGACACAAGGAGTACCCTGGCCCAGTTCCCAGGTAGTGGGGCAAACCATTTAGCAATGGTTTGTCCCTTTACCTGGCTCACCGCCAGGCTTTGATGCTCCTCAGAGCTGCAGAAGCCAGAAGCCACTGTCATCATATGTAACGAAGTCATAAGCACCATGCAGAAAGCAGCCACAGGTTCGGTGTACATTCATTGGGTCCTGGTAGAGGCATGATTCTGTTTATTTCCTCAGCTGTTTTTAATTTAAATACTTAAGCACACTTTAGTAGGGGTATAAAGGTTGAAACTGGCACCATTTACTTTGAGATCCCCCAGAAGACGGCTCAGCGCCGAAATGTTGGGGTAGTAAGTCTCCAGCTCTAGTGTTAGTATGCCATTTGTAAACAGGTAAAAAGGGAGGATAGCGTCTTGATGTATTTCTTGAGGTAGAGGTGTTTCCAGAAGTTGTAGAATATGTGGAGAAAGAAAATAGCACAAAATATAGTGTAGTATATCCTGTGACAATTCAAAAAAAATTTCACTCATAGTTTCAGGAGCTAGGATAGTTCTGGGTGGTATAATCACCACCTAAGATATGTGGTGTCTTCTTATGTTAAAGTGCCGTAGTGCAAAGAATCTTAAACTGGATACAGTAGGTCAGGATGATATCAGCCCTGCCTTATGGGCTCACTGGCTTGTTGGTAAGTAGTTCATATATGCAAAACACAGAATAAAATATATCATGCTCTCTGATGCAATCCTGTATTTCTGACTCTTTTATGTTAAAACCACCATCTAGCCCCCTTGGCCCTCTCTTTCCTCCCTAAATATAGTAAAATCGTACATGTATTCAAGTCTGCAGCTGCTGGCTCTGCCCCTGTCTGCCTCTGAACTGACTCTGCTGACATTATCAGAAGTGGTGGTCTGAGCCAATTACAATGCTTCCCTGTAGGATTGGCTGAGACTGTTAAGGAGGCAGATCAGGGGCAAAGCCAGCACAAGTCTAACATAGCCCTGGCCAATCAGCATCTCCTCATAGAGATGAATTGAATCAATGCATCTCTATGAGGAAAGTTCAGTGTCTGCATGCAAAGAAGGAGACACTGAATGTCAGTGCCGCACACTAGGCAGTAATGCCCCAGGAAGCACCTCTAGCAGCCATCTAAGGAGTGGCCAGTGGAGTTATTTTCTCTGAAAATGCAGTGTTTACTGCAAAAAGCCTGAAGGGAATTATTCTACTCACCAGAACAAATACAAGTTATTCTGATGACTAGTGTGTCCCTTTAAGCATGGAAGCTTAAGAGGGATGTATGGGAACAAGACCTGTGTGGACTGGCTGACAATAAAATTAGTTAAGGTAATGCAGACTTTGGTCTCTCTAACACTGTGGCATGTCCTCTTTCTTCTACACTCACTACATACACCTTTTCTCTGTCCCAGGCTATATACCAGGAGCTTCTGCCTGCTAGTCAGATGGTAAGGAGATAAGTGGACATGTGAGTGCTGGGGGACAGTCCTTAGAATGTTTGGAGTCGGCGCATCATTTCATGCACTTATGTCAAGCTCAGGGTGCTGCCTGCATAGTGTGCCCTTAGTTGGACAGCCTGCATTAATGGCAGGCAGCCTGACATGCACTCATGCCAGGCTGCCTTCCAATTCTTTGGACAGACATGCCCCCTTTTTGGGCATGTTTGCCCCTTTTGGCAGGTCTGGTCACGTGATTTGCGTCAGTGGCACACCCTTTTACCCCGCCCATTGACTTCCTGCTTTACTGGACACTACTGTTAGTGGGTATGGATTTACTTGAAAGATGAAAGCATGAATTAGAGAGAGATTAGCATATAGTATATGTTTTCTTATAGCTGCATCCTTTGTGTTTCCCTCCAATACCATCTCAGATACATGATGCTTGAGATTCTTTAATTAGGCCCATCTTAATTGTCAGCACCAGGGCCACCGGGCTCCTAATTTGGGCCTTTTAATGTTCTAATTGTGCTGAACTTTACTAAAGGTGCAAACATCTCCCTTCAGTCGTCTCCATACTTCTGAGTAAATAATTTTGCTACTAGTCTAGCTTTGTGAAGGATTACATTGATATCTACATCCATATTTTGCTTGAATAACCATTTGCAACCTATAGTATTTGTACATTTATGTAACTTAGTGAGAATCCATGTTTGGTTTTGCTTAAATATTAAAATTCTTAATTGCTTCTATAGTAGGATGTTTTTCAATATTACTCCAATATAAGAGATCATATGTTGACATTGATGTTCCAAGGTATCATGGACCTAGGGTTGCAAGGTAGAGGTTCCTCTTGCTTGGATGTTGTTTGCTTGCTTTTTCATGTTTGAATTATATTGACAAAATAGAGCTGAGTGTTTGTTTTGTGTACTGTAAATTATCTATTGTATGCAAATATTGAATGCTGCACAGATTACTTTGAGATGGACATCTGAGCGCTCCTAATGGCGCTGAATACTTCGACTTAGCAAGGAAATTAGCCTGGGAAGCTGCGAAATAATGGAGGTACTCAGCTGGAGTACCCACAAGCTATTACACAAGGTAGCGATTAGCTTGAACTCCCTTGTTCTTTTTTGGATAAGCATCTAGGTAGGAATTGGTTCTCAAATTTCACCAGTTTGATCAGCAGTATTTTTACCAGCAAAATCATTAAAAGAACACTATAGGAACCCAAACAATGTCATGTTAAAGGATCACTATAGGGTCAGGAACACAAACATGTATTCCTGGCCCCATAGTGTTAAAACCACCATCTAGCCCCCCTGGGCCCCTCATGCCTCCATAAATATAGTAAAAATCTTACTGTATTCAAGCTTGAAGCTGTAACTCTGCATGCTGTTAGACTCAGAAAAACAAGCAGTATGCTGCCATCATCAGAAGTGGTAGCCTGATCCAATCACAATGCTTCCCCATAGAATTGGCTGAGACTGACAAGGAGGCAGCTCAGGGGCAGAGCCAGCATGATTCAAACACAGCCCTGGCCAATCAGCATCTCCTCATAGAGGTTAATTGAATCAATGAATCTCTATGAGGAAAGCTCAGTGTCTGCATGCAGAGGGTGGAGACACTGAATGTTTGGATGCATGTTAGGCAGCCATGACCCATGAAGGATCTCTAACAGCCATCTGAGGAGTGACCAGTTAAGTGATCACTAGGCTGTAATGTGAACACTGTATTTTCTCTGAATGATTCTACTCACCAGAACAAATTCAATAAGCTGTAGTTGTTCTGGTGACTATAGTGTCCCTTTAATTAAGTGGTTTTGGGGTATAGATCATGCTCCTGCAGTCTTGCTGCTCAATTCTCTGCCAGTTAGGAGTTAAATCACTTTTATAGGGGGGCGGGGCCTGACCTTCATGGAGAGAAGTCGCATGTCGGCTGAGCTCCGAGCTGAAAGCGGCAAATAACCTAGCTAACGATTACAAAATAGACGGTGCACCGCCGAAAACTAAGCATACCCCTGCACAACAATATGGGGAAACGATCAAAGAAGCTGAAAGCATCCTCGGACGACGGCACGCGTCGAATAGGAGACATATTCCTGGCGAGGCCTAAAACCAAAATGGACGAAGACCCACTGGACTCCCCAGATGCCATACCTGAGGCAGATGACCCTTTCAACACCGTGCAATTAGGGAACCTGCGGGGCTCCCGCAACGAAGGGAGACATCCTGGGCCTTCTGAAACACCTGCGCACATGGTTCCGCACGGATATGGCGCTGCTCCGTGAGGAGGTAACAGCCGTGACGGACAGGGTGAAGGCCACAGAGGAGGATATCACCTCCATGGCACAATGCCAGACAGACGCAACAGAGCGACTACAACAACTCCAAGGCTCACACCAGGCCCTGCAGGTCAGAGTCAATGCGATGGACGACTCTAGGAGACGAATCAACATAAAAGTAAGAGGCATCACAGAAGCTGTCAACGACACGGAGCTACCCCACTTTATTAGGCGCCTCCTGTCGGAGACCCTGCACCCCAAACAGGCGAAGAACCTGCAACTAGATGGAATACTCAGACTCCCCAAGTCCGCAAGGGCTCCAGCAGACGCTCCCCGCGATGTCCTCCTGAGATTCCAGTCCCTACGCGACAAACAAGCACTGATGGACGCCATCAAGAACAAGAGCCCGCTCAAATTTGAGGGCTCCCAACTAACCTTTCTCCAGGATCGCTGCAGGGCAACGTTGGAGTGGAGACGTTCTATCAGCCAGGTCACCAAGACCCTTCGAGAAGCAGGCATCCAGTACAGATGGGGCCCTTCCCACACACTCGTAGCCACACAGGGCGAGACCACCCGCCGACTCACCTCAGCTGCTGACGCCGACCCATTCCTCCACAGCCTGGGGCTCAACCGGCACAAGCCCGACACTGCCAAACCTGGACATTCCTGGGACATATCCAACATAGTCCCCTTTCTACCTCGCAATGAAGCCGACACAGGATGAGACGCCCCAACCAGACCCGGGCTCACAATACCCCTCTGGTAGAGGGAAGTGCCGAAGGACTGGCAGGCGATAATACCTCTTAATGTTGACATAGTCATAAAGTTAAAATTTTATGTAGGCATGTTCAGTCAAAGCCATCCGGCTACTATAACCTACTAACGTCCCCACACCACTTCTAGCCAGACACACCACCCGACTACCCCCCCCACCAACTCAGGGGCCCTAGAGCGATTCAATAGCTACTCCACCCAAACGGGAACGATAAACCAGCTCCCAAATCCAAACAGCACACCCCCCCATCACAGCAATAGTCACAGCACACGAACCAGCATGCATCCTCACCAAACATCTATAACACAACGCTGCTATCACGGCACACCAAGAGGGCTACTCTCTAGGTGACACACTCGAAAGCTGCGACAACCTACCTGCTGGAGTACTAGCCCAATAGAACCTAATGCCTGCAGTAGCCCGCACCTTGGGACAATTGACTAGCTAGCTAACTCCCTGCCCCCCCGCCACACTGACCGGCCATACACTTATATATTGTGCCCCAGTGGCATACCGAATATGTACCCGTAACTCCACCTGATAGGGCTAGGAACGCACCGCGCAACACACGGTGAACAAACTAAATCCAACCTATCCAAGGGACAAGACGGATAGCCTACTCACTTACACATTGGACCACCCACCTCAAAACCACAGTACACTTATATTACAGTCAGTGTGGACTAACAACAGGGCATAGCTGAGCACACTCCAATCACACCACATATTCTAGCAACTGTAGGCCTAGACTGTTTTTTCTTGTTCTGCAATGTAGTAATTTTAACAAAAATGTGCAGTAATATCACGTGCCATTCATATGTATATTAATGTTTTAATCTGTTTGCCCAAGCTTTTGGGGCACGGCAAGCTTGATTGTCATATTCATGCACAATAAAATAAAGAATTATAAAAAATAAAAAAAAAAAATCACTTTTATACAGCCCTAGCCACACATGAGATGCACATCCTTCCTAAACACCTTCTGCAAAGAGAAATTTTATGTTTCCACTTCCTTTATTGCACATTCTGTTTAATGTAGATTTTCTTATCTTATGCTCTGTTAATAGCCATCCAGACAGTACCAGATCTTCAGAAGGATATTGATACTTTGGAGAGAGTTCAGATAAGGGCTACAAAACTGATTCATGGATTGTAGGGTAAAACTTACCAGGAAAGGTTAAAGGATCTTAACATGTATAGCTTGGAGGAAAGACGAGACAGGGAGGATATGATAGATATATTTAACTCCTTAAGTACACAACTTCAGGAAGAAAAGGGAATCATGATGGAAAATTTCCGTCATGTGTCCTTAAAGGGTTAAATACATAAAGGGAATCAACAAAGTAAAGGAGGATACTATATTTAATAGAAGAAAAAACTACCACAACAAGAGGACATAGTTTTAAATTAGAGGGGAAAAGATTTAAAAGTAATATCAGGAAGCAGGGCCGGCCCGTCCATAGGACAGTGTGGGGCAATGGGCGCATGTCACTAATGGGTGCTTTAAAAGCGGAGATGTGCAGAGGTGCGGGCGCAATGAGTGGGGGCACCGTGCTGGCCAATATGTGTGACGGGGTCCCAAGAGGTGGCCAAGGGTGCCCCCAGAGCAGCGCCTATTCAGCAATTCAGAGTAAGCACCTGCTTACCCCACAGGGTAGGTGCCTTCTCTGCCTATACATAATGTGCCGTGGGGAAGAAGGAGGGAGCCGTGGCGAGGGAGCTCGTTCAGCTGTGAGGTTCTTTCTGCTCCTTTTGGCTCCCTTGCGTGCATTCTGTAATGATGCTGGGTGCCGGAATGTGATGTCATTTTGGCCCAGGGTCACTAAACACCATGAGGTAGGAGATAGGAGCAGGAATAAAATCGAAGCAACTGAACCCCAGGGAGAAGATTCCTGAAGATAGGGAGGCCTGATGGCCCCAAAAAATAAATAAACACAAAATACAATTAATTTGTGAATGTGTCTGCAAGAATGAGTAAATGTGTGAGTGTGTCTGTCATTGAGAGTTTGTGTCTGTCAGCAAGAGTAAGTGTGCCTGTCAGTGGGAGTTTGTGTCAGAAAGAGTGTGTCTGTCATTGTGTCTGTCAGTGGAGGTGGGTGTCAGTAAGAGTAAGAGTGTCTGTCAATAAGAGTAAGTGTGTCTGCTAGTGACAGTGTGTATCTGTCAGTGTGTGTGTCTGTCTGTGACTGTGTCTGTCAGTGACTGTCTCTGTCTGTGTGTCTCTCTGTCTGTGACTGTGTCTGTCAGAAAGAGTGTGTCTGCCAGCGCGTGTGTGTCTGCCAGTGCGTGTGTAAGCCAATAGTAAGTGTGTCTGTCAGTGCATGTGTCTGCCAGTGCGTGTGTCTGTATGTCTGTCAGTGTGTCAAATCAATAAGTGTGTGTCTCAGTGAGTGTGTGTGTCTGTCAGTAAGTGTGTGTGTGTGTCTGTCAATGAGTGTGTCAAGTGTGCATCTGTCTCTATGTATGTGTGTCTGTCTGTGAGTGTGTGTTTAAGTACTGGTTTCCCCACGATCGCATGGGAAACCTTTTTACCCATGTTGTGCCGGTCTTGTCGTGGCTGTCCCTGCCTCCATGGCTGAGCTCATCAATCTTGATGATTTTAGCCAAGCCAATGCTTTCCCGAAGTCTGAGTGACTGCCACTATAGGTGTTACTAGGCAGTAATATAAACACTGCCTTTCTCTCAAAAGTTTACATTGAAAAGCCAGCAGTTTAAGCTAAAATGGTTCTGGTGACTAGAGTGTCCCTTTAAACCATGGAAGCCAAATATTGTGGAACTACAGCCCCCAGATGCTTTGCCAATATAAGGATGGCAAAGCATCACAGGATTTGCAGGTCTGCCAGATTGACATTTTGCCACCCTTGGCTTTAAAACTGTTCCATACATATAACAAGTACAGTTTCCACTTGGAAGCACTTCACTTGCCATCCACATAGAGTGAATCAACTCATTATTGAGTTTTAGTTTAGTTTTCATTATTATGATCTGACACAGGGGTTGTCAGCCTGGTCTTTACTGTCCAATAATGGGCGATTCAGGCTTTTAGGTGGGCGGTGGTGAGTTCTGCATAAAATGCCCGGTAGGCCGAGATGCACAGGCCGGCAGGGGAGATCCTTTCGTCTCACCTGCCAGCCCAGGCAGAGCCAGCCTTGCTGTGAGCCCTCTTGGGCCAGTGAGGCAATCAAACATCTCCCTCACGGGACCACTGGCACTTAGTTCCAGCAGAGGGAGTGAAGGGGCTGTTAGACTCTGTGATCCTCCCGTGAGCAGGCTGGTCAGAGCGTTGCCGTGCATTACAATGGCTGTGCTCGCGGGAGGACAGGAGAGTCAGCCTGCAAACGGAGGAACTGAAGGCTAAAGTCGAAGTGCCACCACTGGACCACCAGTTCTTGCAGCATTATGTGGCCTCTGCCTGACAAAGGTAAGAAGAAGAGAGGAGAGACATTAAGCTGGATTTACACACCCCTCACACACCACACCTCTCACACACACAAATACACACTGCCCCCTCACACACACACACACACACACACTGCCCCACACATACACACACTGCCTCACACACACTGCACCCCACCCCTCACACATTGCCCCCACTCACACATGTGATAGAATTTATCTTGATTCCAAGGCTCAAGCTTATGGGTGTCAGATTTTGATATCCTATATTAAAATTGGTTAACTTGGACTCAGGAAATGCTTGATGCTTAAAACAACACTTAAGACTATATATGTCTAGTTCTGGGAGCAGATAGCCCCCACCTGAGATGTCTCTTCTAAAATCATTCTGTTCTTTCTCTTTCTCTGAACTTATTTGTTATATGTACATGACGTTCATCACTATGTCTTATCTGTACTCCTTTTTCCCTTTCACTCCCTTCCTACTACTGTCCTATGAGTATTTGCAAGTAAGTACTTACTTTCAAATGTTTAAAAACCCAAATAACGAATAAACGACAGAGGCTTATTTTGATAACCAACACACCAACCCTCACTTGCGCTAAACAATCGAATTACTGTGGCACCGGTGGGCAGTAAATAAATTTTACCATCAACAAAGATACAAAAGTGGCGGTAGGTATTAAAAGGTACCCCTGATCTAACATAATGGATGTCAGCATGTTTTGTCAGGAAGTATTACTTTACTAAGAGAGTAGTGGATGCATGGAATAGTCTTCCACCTGAATTGGTAGAGGTTAACACAGTGAGGGAGTTTAAGCATGCGTGGGAT